GTGTCGCAAGTTCAGTGACGCAGTAATGACGATTTTCTCCGGCCAATCAGTGACCAGTAGAGTTTACACGTCACGTTTTGGTAACGGTTCGGCGCGCTTGGAACCTCGGCTGAGGTGGTACTAAAAAAAGGACCAGGTACCAGGTACTGTTCCCAGTGGAAAACCCCCCAAAAGTGAGCTGAACTGAACCGTGTCGTGCCGTACTATGCAGTGGAAAAGCACCATAAGTGTACAGTTGGCAGACCCTTGAAGGTACAGCCCCAGTGACAAGCAAAGGTACAAACAGGTACTCTTTATTCTGACAGTGTAGCACCAATGACTTTCAACTTCCTGGATTGATGGTTATGTGAGATATGGTCAAGTCTGTCCATGTAGCTGTCTGGAGGAATCATGTTCGATGTTATACATGCAGAGAGAGAGTGTAGTTCTGGTCTGAGGTGAAGTCCTTGATGGCCGAGTTGAGGAGGCTTACTTCAGGAAGCAGATTATATGGGTTTGATATACTGACCTGCAAAGAAAGCGACGCCCACCCAGCAGGACACCTCAGTACTGAATGGCAAAGAGAAAAACTCTTTCATATTTTATGTCTGGCTTTGTAGTAAAAGCATATAGTCACATAACTGATAAAATTTAATAATAATAATGCTTTGAGCTATATGTGTACATGAAAGTTTACATCACGTACAAAAGGCACTTATTCCTTTAATTTTTAATGGGCTATTTGGAGAAGACAGCTGAAACAAGCCTGCTACTTAAGCAAACATATTATTATAGGTAATGAATAACACAATTAAGATTCTCTGAAGGAAATATGCATTTTTTAATAAACATTAAAGGGCAGCAAGGTAAGATGACTGGAAATGCAGGCAAATTGACATTTAGGGATTTTATTCATGCTGATCCAATCCATGGCACAATAGTACGCATATAATGAAAGGAACGAAATACCTAAACAAAAAGTGTATAGATGGATAATTTTTACCCTTTTTACACTATAGTTTATACAGCTGACAACAGTTTCATTTTTATAAAAAGGATTTTCCAAATGCACTTACATGCTGTTTTCCTAAGTCCTTTACATTCTAACCTTAAATTCTATTCCTTACATTCATTCAATTATACAAAAAGAATGTTTGTCTGGTTTTTGGCAGACAGAATGATGTTTATAATTTATGTTGAAATTTTGATTTGTGAATCTAAAATGAAAAGTGGATCAAATGAATAAGTAACAGAGCTAGATCCTCCAGATAACCAAACAATGAAGACTGGTGACAGTGACTAAAACGATTGTTTGTTTGTTTCAGTTTCGCTGTACTTAGCACCGATGAGCAGCCAATCCTAACCCTTCCAGCGCTCGCGTCAGCCTCAGATCCTCAGTCAGCTGAATGCAGGGAGAGGTGCATTCTGGGAGGCTGTTTGTAGGAGTGGGTCAAGGAACTACAGATTATCTCCTCAATGACACACATTCAGCCATGTTTCAACTTGAACCCCCCACCACCACCACCACCACTCCTAAGAAAAAAAAAAGAATAAAAAACACTATTACTGAAGGTCAGTCACCAGGGCGATGTGTAAGTCAGGTTTTTTCTTTAACCGCAGCCAGCGTACTAAGTATGTACATTCCTTTATGATTATTGCGTGGACTCCATATGGCATTCAACATAATGACCTCTTCCAATGTATATTTGAATCTTATTCCTGTAGGTTTAATACGAAATAGGTCATATTATTAATACACAGAGATAGTAACGCAACTTTAAATTATGCTTATCCTCACTTAAAGTTAGTCAGCCCACTGACAGACAGCCTCCGTAGTCAATCATTTCCCCAATACTGTCAAAGAGGACTGTGAAGTAAATTCAGTCTTCCTGTCGGAGAAAAATTAAAATAAATCCGCAACTAAGATCACTTCATTCCAACCTCACAGCTCGACGAATATCGCACAATCCTTCTTGAAGTGGAGATCATTTTCATGCAGTAGTTTATGTGTGGGTGCGTGTAAAATAAATTACATGATTATATGATACGATTATATGATTATATGATATGATAAAATAAATATTCGGAGAAAAAATGAATATATACTTTCAAAGTTAGTGGAATATTCGAAAAAACAATACGCAGTGCGACTAAAGCACATTTGGTGACGTTGTTATTACACTGGGACCGAGGACGCTGATATCTTTACCCCAGTGTCGGTGTACTGCTGTGTACTGGAGCACCAGGTATGGGAGACACTGTTTCCTTTGGGAAGAGGGGTGGTTGGAGTCTTGGGGAAAATGGGATAAAAACGCGTGCAATGCCCAGATCCGAATCACAAAACGCAAAAGAAAAACTACATTCCTTTGGTACGAAATGAACTAACCGAATCAAATAGATGGATCCCAATGTGCCACGTGAACACATCACTTTGTTATTCTGCAAATTATTATTTTAGCAGGATTCATATATCAATGGGAATAGGCGCAGTATGATTTAATATCAGAAGCCATTAAACACATGACCCCTGACGCGTCATTGTCGTTATATTTCGGTTATGTGTTCGTCTTTCCCTTCGCCATCCTTACTGTTCATCTGCAGGTTTCAGGCAAAATAATACCCAGTTTAATGTAATTGGTCTGTAAGGTCCAGCTATGTCAAGCGTTCAAGGGATTAAAATAGATAATCAGATAGTTAATGTGATGTATACGTGTTAGCTATTGTACCATCGTATTTCAGAACCCACGTGTAATTTGCATTAAAATTATTGACTAAATTATTAGATTTTTTTTACTTATATGATAGGCCTATCAATGTATTATTTTCAAGCAATTATATTGAATAAGTAAACCGCCCAATTTGTAGATTACGTCGGCTTTACCGTTCCAAAACGACATAGCTGGATATAGGCTAGCCTATACGCTTAATTTTCCTCTTAACGTTTACGATGAAATGTAAAAAGGACGTAGGTACTCGTATTAAGGGGCGACACCTACGGAAATTCTCTAACAGCTATTCGCACTGGATGCTGCAACACCCGCTCTGACATTTCTCTGCATCCACTTGTGTGTCAGGATTTAGGATTTACATTAAATCTGCCATGTCACCTTTTCCAGAAATAATAACGTTAGACTGCCACGGCAACGGGTTTGGCATCACCTTCTATAAAATAAACATAACAAATGAAAGAAGATTTTAAAATAAATATGGGTAGACCTACACCTGCAGTCCTAGCTATTAGATGCAAAACTTGCAAATGCAAAATTTGCAAACTGCAAAATTTAATGAAGTGTCTACACGCCTATGTCGTCTGTGCGCAAATATCCAAGTAGTTTAGTAGCTTAATTTTACCCAGCGGACGAAAATGACAAAGCAGGTCTAATCTATGGTGTACGTCAAACATTTGATAAAAACCACTCACAGAAAATAGGAACTTGATATTCTGTTTTCACCACTGCATAAATAGATAAGTAATGTACTACATTTTCAGATCTACTATATCCTAAAACCAACCTGTGAGGCAAGTGGGCCGGCGCGCAGCACCGTAAAAACCGTTTCATGACTCGCCTGGTGGGTCTCTAATTGATGACGCATGTAATATATGTGGGCCTACGTGACATATTTCATTTCTTGGTGCGTGCAAGATTTTTAAAGAAAATATCGCATTCACTTTTACATTTGCACGTTACTTAAAAATTATTTGATTAAAACGCATGTTTTATAATTAGATTAGATATTCTCAAAAAGCTTTATAAACGGTAAATGTTTGGGCAGGAAGTCCATAAATATTGTTATAATATTATTTCCACTCTGAAACGGATCAGAAGGTTGATTCTTCTTTTACAGCCTGAACTACAAATCTGCGTCATTCGTATTTTTGTGCAAAATAAATGGCGCACGAAATTAACGTTGGAGAAACCGCTACTTTTTCTTCGGAGTAAATCAATCTCATTGACTAACCATCCCCGCGTTAATAGCCGCTCTCAGACATGCACGAGGTCTGCAAGACCAATACATTTAATCGTGTGATCAAAACTTAATCATAAAAATAAAAAAGGCGTATTTAGTAGGCCTAATTAAACGAAATGTTGCTGTATGTGACTTAATGTAAACGAAGCATACTTATTGGCGTCTGTACAGCTTCTTTAAATTACAAATACATTTCAAATAACTTAAAAATAATAAAATTAAATAATTCCACTTAAAACTTTCCACAAGCGTAATGACATATTTTACGATGAAAAAATATACGTGAATTTAAACCAATTGCGCAATGAAAATGAAAACGAAACGTTACAACAAACCTCTGGTTCATTTTAGTATTATTTCTTATGAATTTAAATATCACCGAGAAGAAAAGGTCCAGAATATACCGCACTGTACGATTTATGTCAAACTTTTATTAGTGAAATAATCCTTAAGATGTATTTCCACATATGGCGTTATCATACATAATCCTCAAAAGACAAGACACATAAAATCTGACATAATTCGGAGATCGCAGTACAATACCTCTTTTTACCTCAGCAAACAAAAGCCTATGAAAAGTGACAAGTCTTTTGACAATAAATAATAATCATAGTTTTAGTACAGGAATAAAGAGAATCACCACTGGTTATTTTAACCAATAACTATACACATCTTTGCGAGAATAATGTTCTTTGACTGACGACAAACTCTCAAATGTTCCCATGATGTTTGTGGCAAAATAGAGGTATACCTCGTCGCGATGCTTTAGTACTTGGGCTTTGACATAATTCAACAAAAAAATTAAGAGCGGTATCTGTAAATCCCTCTCCAATTGTCATTTACTTTCGGGTCAATGAAAGTTGGGTCATCAATGTAAAATAATTTTATTACCAGTTTTTTCTCCTCTTGCTTTCTCGTGTCAATGCCTATATTTTCACTTCCGTGTAAATCCGCCAGCCATTATTACGTATAGAAGATTTCTTCCAGGTCTATTGATTTTGTGAAGATTGCGGAGCTCATTCGTGTGATTCTTCGTCCTTGTTAGGCAAAAGCACTGGCCAAACTTCTGCTCCAAAAAGGCAGCACCGTTTAATCAAGTTGAGGCGTGGTCCGTATATTTCACAGGCCAGAAGCACACAATTTCCCTGCAACTCTTGGTGATCTTCTCATGAGTTACTCCGCAGACTCCCCCGGTGTACGTTTAGGTGCATTTCAGCTTCGTGTAATTCCTATGATTGTCTTCACAGTGTTAACTTACAACCAGAGGTCGTTTAAATAAAGAGGCTTCGTGCAGTTGAATTAGCTGTAGTGTTCGCATGTAAAAACTACGGCGCAAAGGGGTGTAACCGCCGTCATTTTTCGTATCCTTCTTATGGACACCACGTTTCCCCAAACTTCTTAAAAACTAGTCCAGTTCCTTCACGCCTCTAAGGGACTCGACACCATACTGTTCGGTGTATCTGGTAGTTGAGAGGACATCGATGCAACTTCACTCCCAGTTGAATTGGACCCTGGGCCACCTTCCGAGAAATTGACCTGAAAAAAAATTGGAATAATTCAACATCTTCGATGCCAAAAAGAAAAGTGAATTCGAGCCGAGGCATATTTGTTAAGCATTGTCCAGCTGCTGAAATTATACGATCCGCTATCTTAACTGGATCTTGTCTTGGGGAAAGCGGACAGGCTGCGATCCTTGGTGCGGTAAATCCCACGCACGATGCCCGCTGCTGGCACTCACCAGCTGCTGAAATGCCGGTTGGTCAATGTCACTCTGCAGCGCGAAATCACTCAGGACTTTCCAGGGCGGCTGGTAACTCTGCACCTCCACTGGGTTTGCCTGCAAACCACCGTCGTGTCTCTCCGGACTCGCGGCCACCATTGGTGTCCCTGTCATTCCCTGGATATTCTGGAGGGGGCCGGATACAAAAGAAGACTAATATTAACAAAACATAGGCTATGTGGATGCACCCTCCACTGCATTTTACGCTGAACTCCAAAATGTAATGTATAATTTTAGAGAAAAAAATATTCAGGGAAATTTATAAACGGCAAAAAAATGAAAATCTCTGGAATGCCAGGACACTGAGACCCGACCACAAGTCACAGTCTTCCGCTAAATAAGGAAAAGATATCTAGTGTTCAAGCATATCCATTCACCCCCCCTGACAGTGAGGCCTCCTTTATAACATAAACATTAAATAACATAACGTCAATGTAACCACACATAGTGAATGATTCTCACTTCGATTGTCCAGTTTTGTTTTGCACTCATTTTGTCTTTTGCGCCGTCTTTAATCCCTCTTCATTTAATATATCCTCCGTTTATTTGCCTTTCGTGCCAAGTTGATTTTTTTTTTACCTTAAGAGCAATTTTATTTGCTCTTCGCTCACCGTTTTATCGTTGGACTGCTGCTGCTGTAGCTGTTTCATCAGTATACTCCGCTTCTTGTCTTTGCAGCGCTTGTTTTGAAACCAGACCCGGATAACTCTGGGGCTGAGCCCCGTCATTTCTACCAGCTGTTCCTTCATGAGAGCGTCGGGTCTCGGGTTGGCGTTGTAACAAGTCCGCAAGGTGTGTAACTGCTTCTCGTTCAGCACCGTCCGGACCCGCGTCGTTTTCTCGGGCTGTTTGTGAATATGAGGTCGAAGTGCCGGCTGTCTAGCAGATATGGGCTCTGCTGCGAAGATTAAGGAGAAAATATAGGCTAAGAAGTCACACCATCTTATTATTAGGGGTAAACCGTTGGTCTACGTATAAATATGATTGCTCTGGGTGGTTGAATGGCAATGACATGAATCTACGGTTTTAGTGTGAATTTTATCGATTAATCGCAATTATAAATCTGTACATATTTACTTAAAATGTGCTATAACGTTATGTATAGTAGCGTAGTTGACCTTGAAAGTATCAGAAGTTTAGATAGATAGATAGATAGATAGATAGATAGATTAAAAAATAAATAAAAACTTATTATGTTGTTTCAGACGGAGGTGTGTCTAAACACAGTGGAAGGACAATCATAACAAAACGACACATTGTGCTTTGCATTTTGACATTGGGCTCCCCAATTTCATATTTAGATGTCTGGTTCACGTTAAACGACTTTTTTTAGAGTCTTTTCCCTGTGCCCACGCCACCCCCACCCCATACATACACATGCAAAAAAACGTTATTTTCTTAAATGTTTCACTTAATACTGATGACAGCGCAACTAGCTTGACAGAATAATAAATTAATACCGCAGTGCTGTTCTTTCTAGCAAAACGTTATAAGAAAGTCTTATCTCAAGACCAAAGTGCTGAGTAAAAGATTTCTGGTATGCTGTGTACACTACGAGCATTTGGAATATTATGCAAAATGACCTTGCGATTGCCTATCTAATTCTGTAGAACATTTGAACGTCACCCCTTTATACTTAATAAAACAAGCACGTAAAATAAAATATCACCCTCATGATATTTAGGTTGATTATGATCAACCAGTTACTTTACAATTTATTCCGGAAATAGATCAATTGATTTTATCAGACTGGGGGCACCCTGATAATTATTAAATAATAATTAAGTCAATCATAAATTTAAGATGACTAAGGGTGTGAGCTGCCAATTCCATGCAGACTGTCGACGGTAGAATGCGCAACCAACCTGCCATCTGCAATGGTCTTGCTGGGTGTAAAGGGCTTAAGGGGTCCCCTGCTCCCATCGTGGCCCGCTCCACGACGTCGTGGTCTGCCCTGCAGAAGAGGCCGTCTTCGCGCAGGGCGAACTCGTCCCCCGGGATGAGCTGCCGGCTGCAGGCCACGCAGCGAAAGCACTCGATGTGGTAGACCTTGGAGCGCGCCCTCATCACGAAGTCGTTCTTACTGAAGCCGATGTTGCATTTAGCGCACTTTATACCGTATAACCTGCGAGACAAACAGCACATGGCGGACGAAAACGCTGTTAAGCTAAATGAAAACATCGGAGCTGTGTCATTTTCCCAATTTTCACAGTGATGAATGCAACGCCCGGGCGAAATCTCTGTAACGCGCAACACGCGACATTATTATTATTATTATTATTATTATTATTATTATTATTATTAGGATAAGAATGAAAATATTATGTCTGTGTGTGATAATTACAGCGAACACAACATTGTGCATTTGATTTGTTTTTAAATATCAAAACATTGTTTGAATAATAATATCTATAAATAGTTAGAAAGTAGACCCATCTCGTTTCTCAAGGTTGACATGTAAATTTAAAAAATCCAAAGTTAAATTCAACAAACATATAGGCCAAATTCGATGGTCTTAAATTGTTTTTGATTATAATTATATTTCATTTGTCATGAAAATACTTTAAAATAATGAGTAGCCTACTGCATCTAACAAATACAATTTGTTTAATTATATGTTTTTACAAAATGTTACAACTGCTGTAATTCCGACGTTTGTGCAATGGACGTCTAATACTGATTTCAAAAGCTTTTACACATTTCAGACATGTTCTAAATACAGCCTATATACACAAAATACGTAATCTGCTTTAACAGTCCATTGATAATTCTAAAAAAACCTTAGGACTTATTTTCCCCGCACAAGTCGGACCCACCTGATGTAGTCCCTTTTGCAGTATGTTTTTCCCTCTCGAACGAAGCAGGTACAAGACTCGTCCAGGTACTGATTGCATTCTGCACATTTCAAACAAGCGGCGTGCCACTCCAGATCCGGAGAAACCCGTAGAATATACTGGTCGTGAATCTGATTTCCACACCCGACACAAAGCGAGACCAGGCGCTTTTCTAGGAACAGAACGTAAAATGCTGCTTAGCACAATGTAAACAAAACATTTCCCCGAGGTATAATTTTACGGTATAGCTGTCCAGACGTTAAATGCCCCCAATAAGAAAGTAAGGTAATATTGTAATAATAGGATTAACAATATAACTGTATTGCTTTGACCATATTACTAATAACAATAGTTGTATTGTAATTTCTGAACTTGTTATTTTATTTTAATACAACTTATACTACTACTAATAATAATAATCATAACATTATTATTATTATTATAAGTTTATTTCAAACACCGTTTGCAACTGCAATTTCTATCTAAATTACTACTTAGGGAAAACTGACAAATGTCATTAGGCTATGAAGAAAGCTGTAGGACGTAATGAAACAGAGTAAAAAGCTATTGATTCACAGATAATACATATACATTTTTAACAATTAGATAAAGGAGTCTATAACAAACTTGCCCGCTGTCTTTCCGCAACTATAACGCAACTATTAAGAAAACAGTTGTTACCCAGATTAGAGGGAAAAGGTCCTCGTTCAATTTCAACTAAAACTCTGCCGATTCTTTTCTGGAAAAAAGTTTCATTTTTTAAAATATCAGAAAACACAAATTGTTCCACTTACTTTTCGGCGGATCACCCATATCTCCCATGTCAAGAAAGTAAGGCGGCGTTAGGTCCACTTTTAAAAAACGAGGTGCTGCACTATAGCGAAATGTGATGTTGCGATTTTCCACCGCCGTTTTCAGGACTCAGCAGCACTTAAAGGGTGCGAGGCGTCTCAGGGCTGCTCCGGACCGTATTGTTCGCGTTGAAAGTAGGGGTGTGTGCGCACGCCGCAATGCCTAGTCCCAGTGCCGGCGGGGCACTCGTGTCCTTATCTCCCACCCATAGCGTGTGCTCTAACTCTAACTGCACCGCCATTGGCCTGACGTAGTGGAGGCGATCGTCATCTTTATGGGAAGCTGATTGGTCATGGAAGAAGCGAACAACTGTCCCTATTATTACCTTACAACTCCCCAAGTCCTGTAGTAGTCATCTGGGACGTATCCTACGGGTCATTCTCCTCCTAAGAAGCGCGTTCCCCTGCGTTTGCTCGCTTTCATCTCTGTTGTAAGAAATCTATAGACTTGTAGTTTTTTTCTGTAAAGGACCAGCTATGTACTGAATTACTTTAAAATACTAAAAAAAAAGAGATTATGACTTTACATGTTGGCGTATTAATTTATGTGCTGTTTTGCACGTTTTTCGCAAGTAGTATTGGTGATATGGAGGGAGATTTATACACTGTTTACCTAATACAATTACGTACTGTACATTTCCAGAACGTTGCACCAGGACTGTATAGGACCTATAAGAGGCGCTTCCTATAATCTAAAACATGCACCTGCATGGGCATTATGATGCATGCACCTGTACGTGCATAATGGACGTTAGGCCTACATACTGCTACCAGTGTCTTTCTGTGATGCTTAAATGACCATAATTTCTCTTTAGTTGAAAAAAAAGTCTGATTAAATCTTGTCTGCATTTTTGCAAAATGTTCAGACACAGCAGTTTGGGAGAGAAAAGAATTAATGCTACGCTTTGACGATTTTCACTTTGAAAACAAAGGTAATTTTTGTTATCGCAGCTAATTGTCGTGTTACAAGGTGTGACGCGGGGTTTTATACTCAAAGCGAGGGCAGCTCTACAGGCAAAACAATGTTAATACCTCTCAGGTGTATCAGGCAAGTGTTTTACCTAAACAGCAGGCCTTCGCGAGTTTTACAGCCGGGCAGAGGCAAGGGAGCGATAGACAACCTATTTTCACTTATTAAATATATAAATAATATACTCACGATAGTGTTTGAAAATATTCACGGCCAGACAGTTGAACCCAATTTGCGAAATAAACTGCTATGTGCTGGGAACGCAAACACGCCCTCTTGCGTTATAGAGAGCATGTGCGTCTGTCTGTGGTTAACAAAGGCGAAATGCAAATGTGACACAACGAAGATTAAAAAAAAAACGAATGTACTGTGTCAGTTATACTGTTAACGAGAGCATGAGTTCATTTTAAGCATCTGAAATCATCCATAGTAATCGAATACATTAAAATACTTTCAAAATATAATTTAACTTTACTATTCACTCATCAGAAGATAAATAACTTATTGTGTATTTCGTTTTGTTAAATGTATATATTTGAATTATTTGATGCTTAAAATTAGAGTTTATTCTTAAACGCATTTTCATATTTGATTGGTTTGGTGTCTTCATATAGATTTAAACAGCAATAATAGATTTCTTATTTTTTTAAACCCAAATATTACATTCGGCGTTACATAGATGTTCTTGGTCTGCATTAATCCACAGTCTGTCGCAGGGAAAAAGGTATTCCCATCCTGTGACTCCCGTTTATCTTACCTCACAAAATGTAGGCAAATTAACGCGACAAATCTAATATATAATAGGCCTAGTGTTAGAGGTTTACATACTGTACTCCTTATCTGTCTGGTGTTTGATACGTGCTTCCCCGCTTTAGGGCTGCTTGCAGGTAATTGCATTCCCCAGTGAAGATTAAGGCAAGAGGCAGGTGCCAGTATAGCCGGATGTGATCGAGCGGTTTCATGCTGTATCGCGCTGATATATAGACTTGCACTGAGAGACTGTCCTGTCCACAGTGGGCTTTAGTATGATTCACTGCCTCCTATTAGTCACTGCACCTTTAGCTTGTGCACGATGCTTTGCCACCGCCCGTAACTCACGCGGTCCCCAAGACAAGTCACTCGCGCGGCAAAGTCACCAACGAAGAACCTGCGTAAGTAGCCTACAGTAACGAGGGAAATGACGAGAAGAAGGATACTGCTGCTGCCGCTGATGATGATGATGACGGCGATGATGATGATATTTCGCTAATGGTCATTACAGATCGAGGGCATTGAAATCATTCTGTAATGAACTGTGTACGGCTTGTTCATTCGTTTTAGTCTTGATATAGTCGTAATGTTACAAAAGTAAGAAAAGCAAAGTAGTTTCTGTCATATACACACACACACACACACACACATATATATATATATACACACATATCTGTCTGCTTTGTTTTTCTTACTTTTATACACACACACACACACACACACACACACACACATAAAAAAAAAAAATAGATAGATAGATAGATAGATAGATAGATAGATAGATAGATAGCTTTGTCTATTACAGTTTTTTTGTCTATAAAAGTTTGTTTCATCTATTTTTTTTTTCCCCTGCGCCCACATTGCTATTGGAAAATGGAAATAAAAGAGGACATTAAAAAAAATAAATACATTATCTATATGCTTTTCATGTAACTATCTAAAATCCGAGATATCAGCAACTAATATGTAACAAGTGTACTTAAAAATGTATAGGGCCGCTCTACCTGTCGCTGTCATTAATAATTTATTTAAAGAAACATCTTTAACAGAAGAAAAGGCAGCAGTGTAATGTGGGTGAACGGGAACTTTATATACGTAACTAAGTTTATCCGAGTGGATAACAGTTTGTGCAAAGGAATGTCTTAAAACACAGAAAATGGGGGAAATCAAAATGTATTATAATTTAAAAACAATGGACGACACAGTATAGGTCTAGAAAATAGAGCTGTAACACGTCATATACAATGCACAACATAAAATACACATTGCGTATGTACTGGGGAGTAAAGGAAAAGTAAACACGCTTCTCATTTATGGTGAATCTGACGGTAATTAAAGGCTATGAAAAAACAAAGAATGGGAGCAGGCAGGAGTGTTACTGACTAGGATTAAACATTGAAATTAAAAGGGAGAATAACCGAATGAAAATGACAGCCTCCCTTAACCCTTAGATAATGTGTATGAAATTTCTATGCTGCATTGAAGGAAGACAGAATCTTTCTTATTTCATAATAAAATGGCATTACACAAAGTTGAACAGCACGTTTGAATAACCTTTTCTTCTTCAGTAGTCACGCTAAATGCCCTCGGGGGCCCCTCCCTGCTCAGCCCCCACCAACGATTGACTGCCCTGCCTGTCCTGTCACTGCGCCCCTGTATACCATAACCTGAAGACACTGAAGAGATCACATGTTCTGGGTAATGGTAATAAGCAGTTACAAATTAGGACAATAATATTATGATTATTATGCTTCTTTTCAGTTGCTTTGACTTGAGTGTCATCTTTCAAACATCTTTCAAAAACACCCGACTATGTCAGGATTCGTAATAACTGGGAAACAAGCAACTGCAAGACAGATGTGGAGAAGGCATGTGTATGTCAGGTGTTTCTGAGGTTGTAAAAAACTGTGACAAAAACCACTACCGGCAGATGGATGATCACCTGACCCAGAATGGCATCGTTGACCTCCCAGTAGATCCACTCAAGATGCACACGCAACATTTCCAGTCACAAATCAGTGGCCTATTTTATCTGCCTGGAGAGATGGACATTACAATGTGAGACCTGTGTGGAAATCGGTCATCGATTACACTGTCTGGCACAACGAGTAAGTGCCAGTGATGTGCAGTTCTCGGCCAAGTGGCCAGGCACATATATATCTATATATATGTCATAACTTTCATCAGGGAACCTGCATGTCTACTATTATATGGATGATTCAGTCTGCACTAAAGGCTGCTAGCATTACAACTGGTTTCCAGCTGATTTAACTGCTTTACAAGTCACTGGCCACTGTAATCAGTGGATAAACCTGACTCGCCTTTTGGACGAAGAGGTGTGGGGAACGACCCCTAAGGTTATGACAGGAGCATGGGTGTGTGGGATCGTTTTCAATTTTAAACACATGTAGAAATATTTTACTGTCCTCTGCCCATCTGCATGAACGGTGGGTGTTTTGGGGGACAGTGTGGCTCAGCAGGTTAGAACTCTGTGTCTGTAATCAGAGGGCTGCTGGGTCCAGTCCCAGGGTTGGCAGGGAGATTCCCCCGCTGGGCCTTTGATTGAGGCCCTTAACTGTTTAAGTAAAGCCTGCTTTCTGAACTGTAAGTCGCTTTGGATAAAAGCACCTGCAAAATAAATGTAAGTGTTTCAGGGACTAATGTTTCAGTACTTAATAGGAAGTGAGGAAGTGTTTTATTTAAAACAAGCATTGTCTGGAGGCATCGCCTATTGACAGCCTGGCACATCAGCATGAGAGCGCATACATGACAATGAGAGCATGTGTAAGAGACATGATGTTCAATGGTGCCGTCGAAGACTATTTTTTGCAATTGTGAATATTTCACTTTCATGTGAATGATATGGCTTTGTTTGAGAGTTACACAGGGTTAAATCAGTTTTACCATGCTTGGCTAGCTATCACCCAAGGTTTAAACAGTGTTAGAATGCTTGGCTAGCTGTTACACAGAGTTTAAGCAGTGATACAATGTTTGTCTAGCTGTTACACAGAGTTTAAGCAGTGTTACAATGCTTGGCTAGCTGTTACACAGAGTTTAAGCACCGTTACAATGCTTGGCTAGCTGTTACACAGAGTTTAAGCAGTGTTACAATGTTTGGNTTACAATGCTTGGCTAGCTGTTACACAGAGTTTAAGCAGTGTTACAATGTTTGGCTAGCTGTTACAGAGAGTTCAAGCAGCATTACGATGCTTGGGTAGCTGTTACACAGAGTTTAGGCAGTGTTAGAATACTTAGCTGGCTGTTACCCAAGGTTTAAGCAGTGTTACAATGCTTGGATAGCTGTGGCACATGGTTTTAAGTGGTGTTAGAATGCATCATGGGAGCACTACTTTGGAAAAACTTTGTTATGGCACCTTCTGAGGTTGTGAGATTTATTCGTTGGTCAGAGCAGCCTGATGTGATGGGTATTTTTAGGAAAACCTGGATGCTATTGATGTGTGCATTAAT